GAGATGGTTCTTAGGGGGAGATACATTTGAACAGGTAAGCTGGGCTGGAACCATTTAGGTCTTTATAGGCTAAAGCCAGCACTTTGAATTGTGCTCAGTAGCAGACTGGGAGCCAGTGGGGTTGGTGCAGCAGGGGGGTTGTATGCTCCCTGTACGCAGTAGTCTATTTGGGATGTAACAAGAGTGTGGACTACCATGGCCAAGTCTGACTTACCAAGGTATGGCTCACAAGTTTTAATTGTGCAAAAGCTCCCCTGGCCACTGCCAAGATCTGGGATCCCACGTTCAGTGATGAATCCAGGAGAACTCTCAAGCTGCGAACCTGTGACTTCAGGGGGGGTGTAACTCCATCCAGCACAGGTTGTAACCCTATACCCTGTTCGTCCTTTCAACTGACCAGGAGTACCGTCTTGTCTGGATTTAATTTCAATTTGTTCACCCTCATCCAGACCATCACAGCTGCCAAGCACTGGTTCAAGACCTGAACAGCCTCCTTAGCAGCAGGTGGAGAGGAGTACTATAATTGTACATCATTTGCATATAAATGACATCCAACTCCAAAACTTCGGATGATCTCTCCCAGCAGCTTCATGTAGATGTTAAACAACATGGGGGACAATACAAGCCTTTGTCCTGTGGGGCTGAGCAGATGTCCCCAAGCAACACTTTCTGAGAGTGACCCACCAGGAAGGACCAGAGCCACTGTAAAATAGTGCCTCCAAACCCCATTCCCGCAAGGCATCCCTTAAGGATACTGTGGTCTATGGTATCGAAGGCCACTGAGAGGTCCAAGAAAACCAACAGGGACACACTCCCCCTATCCAGTTCTCTGCGTAGACTATCCACTAACGTGACTAAGGCTGTTTCAGTTCTGTGTTCCAACCTAAAGCCAGACTGCGACAGGTCCAGATAATCAGTTTCCTCCAAGAACAGTTGGAGTTGCGAGGCCACCACACATTCCAGGACATTGCTCAGAAAGGGGAGATTGGAAACTGGCCGAAAGTTGTTCAATTGAGTGGGGTCCACACACACCCATAACTGAAGTAACACCAACACAATGTAAACTGAAACATCATTTAAATCTGTGAGTGCATGTTTGTCAGACACAATTTTCTTTAACTGCCTATATCGTCATAAGAACCAATCGGATTACAGAACTTCAAAATGTAGGCGGAGCTCAGATATCCCACCTCCATAAACAGGGAGAGTATAAATAACAAGCATTGGAGTGAATTTTGGTGTTCCTAGACCAGCTTTTCTTCACGGTTGGGTCCCTGAATTCCTCCACCATGGTTTGGGCTCTCTTTCTTAGCCTTTTGGTGACATGCTACACAGGTGGGCTTTACTCTTTGGCCAAATGACTGCTAAGTCGATTTGTATGAGGGCTGCTACAATCTCTCTCTTCTTATTTTCAGGTTCAAAGGCCCAGCGGCCAGTAATATCTCAGCTGGCCTCAGTCTCGGTGTCATTAGCAAACACAGCAAAAATCCCCTGTGACATGTGCAGTGGCTTGAGCATTGGTAGCTACTGGGTTCGCTGGTATCAACAAAAGCCCCACGATTTCTCTTGGAGTATTATTCAGAGTCTAGCAAGAACTATGGCTCTGGGATCCCATCTCGTTTCTTTGGTTCCAAAGATACATCCAGTAACTCCTGCTATTTAAACATTGGTGGAGTTCTGGCAGAAGATGAAGCTGACTATTATTGTGCAGTGTGGCATAACAGTGAGTGTCACGGTGGTGCAGCCCAATGCAGAAGTGAGACAAGAATCTCCTCTTTTCTTCCTCAAAGAGATCTTCATGTATGGCCAGGTTAGGCAACTGGGCTCCTCCAGATGTCTGCAACAACAACTTCTATGTTCCGTGACAGTATTGGCTGGGGCTGATGGGAGTCATAGTACAAAACATCCAGAGGCCACTAGTTGCCATTAGTATATACACATTTCTGAGAACAACAAAACAATTCAACATTATTGATATATTTAGGCAAAAAAATTGAAATGTGCAAACACAGCAATATGTGTGAAAGGGATCTGGGAGTCTGAGTGGACTGCAAGCTGAGCATGAGTCAACAGTGTGATGTAGCAGTTTTTAAAAGCCAATGCAATTCTAGGCTGCATCAATAGGAGCATAGTATCAAGATAAAGTGAAGTCTTAGTCCCACTCTCTTCTGCTTTGGTCAGACCTCAACTGGAATAACCATGTCTAGTTCTGCTCATCACAATTCAAGAAGGATATGGACAAGGTGGAAGATGCCCAGAGAAAATGGGTCAAAATGGTCAAAGGTCTGAAAACCATGAATCCCTATGAAGAGCGGCTCAGAGAGCTGATATATTTAGCTTGGAGAAGAGAAGGCGAAGAGAAGACATGAGAGCCATGTTACATGTTTGAAAGGGGGCCACAAGCTTATTTCCAGCCACCCTCTGAGTCCCCCCTAGGGGGTGAGAAGGGCGAGGTAGAAATTACTGAAATAAATAAATAAATAAATATTTCCTCCTGCTCTAGAGACTAAGACATGGAGCAAAAGAGGGTGGTGATGAATCATAAAGATATTGGTGAGATGTGATGAACCAGACTCCCTCACCATGGATTTTGTCTTCTGAATTATCCAATAAGGATGAGGAACAAGAGTAGTTGATCAGTGTACAGCCAACCAGTTTGTCCATTCAACCTAGTGTCTTCTCTGCCCTCTTGTTGAGATCCTGATGCCTCCATTGGGTGGACAGGATCGCTATCCTGCTGCCAGGTGAACTGCGGTATCTGTGTTTATCACAGTGGACTTCTTGCCAAGATCTATAAACCACACATAAGCCCCAATATCATCAACTCACCAATGCCAAGGTACGTTGCCAAACATAAACCCATGTTTGACTGCTATCTTTTTTTTTGGAGGCCTTTTACCTTGACCACTGAACCTGCTGGGAAGTATAACATAGAAACATAGGAAGGACCATATTGGATCAAAGCAAAGGCCCATCTAGTCCAACATTGTGTCCACACAGTGCCCAACAAGTTGCCTATAGGATAGGAAGACAATCCTACTCTTCAAGTCACATTGGGCAGCAAGTGGCATCCAAAGACCCATTGACTCTAATGGTGTTCTTCTCTTCTTGGGTATAGAGGAACTTGCTGAGCCATCTCAAATGAGGTTGAATTTAATTTTGAAGCCTATTTGAAGGGCTAGAACACAATCGGCATTTTTTTTTCCAAAATGTGCCTTGAAAGAATTTGTCTCATGAGGGAGAAATAAAAGGAAAGCAACACCTTTGTTCATCCTTCGCCCACAAGCCTTCTTCTTTCAATATGTTGGTGAAGTGGAAATTCTGCCGTACCTTAATGATTGCTACTTGCTCACCCTTAACCAAGCTTGGACACCTGCAGAGGACCGAGGGCCAGATCAACTACACCCCAGAGTATTGAAGGAACTAGCGGAAGTCATTTCGGAACCATTGGCAACCATCTTTGAGAGTTCTTGGAGAACGGGAGAAGTTCCAGCAGATTGGAGGAGGGCCAATGTGGTCCCAATCTCAAGAAGGGAAAAAAGGATGACCCAAACAACTACCGTCCGGTCAGCCTCACGTCGATACCGGGCAAGATTCTGGAAAAGATTGTTAAGGAAGCGGTCTGCAAACACTTAGAAACAAATGCAGTCATCGCTAAGAGTCAACATGGATTTATCAAAAACAAGTCATGCCAGACTAATCTGATCTCTTTCTTCGATAGAGTTACAAGCTGGGTAGATGCGGGGAATGCCGTGGATGTAGCGTACCTGGATTTCAGTAAGGCCTTCGACAAGGTCCCCCATGACCTTCTTGCAAGGAAACTAGTCCAATGTGGGCTAGGCAAAACTACGGTGAGGTGGATCTGTAATTGGTTAAGTGGACGAACACAGAGAGTGCTCACTAATGCTTCCTCTTCATCTTGGAAAGAAGTGACAAGAGGAGTGCCGCAGGGTTCCGTCCTGGGCCCAGTCCTGTTCAACATCTTTATTAATGACTTAGATGAAGGGCTAGAAGGCATGATCATCAAGTTTGCAGACGACACCAAATTGGGAGGGATAGCCAATACTCCAGAGGACAGGAGCAGAATTCAAAAATCTTGACAGATTAGAGAGATGGGCCAAAACTAACAAAATGAAGTTCAACAGTGACAAATGCAAGATACTCCACTTAGGCAAAAAAATGAAATGCAAAGATACAGAATGGGGGAAGGCAAGGAGGGAGGCAGTACGTGTGAAAAAGATCTTGGAGTCCTCGTGGACAACAAGTTAAACATGAGCCAACAATGTGATGTGGCAGGCAAAAAAAGCCAATGGGATTTGGCCTGCATCAATAGGAATATAGTGTCTAGATCCAGGGAAGTATGCTACCCCTCTATTCTGCCTTGGTTAGACCACACCTAGAATATTGTGTCACTTCTGGGCACCACAATTCAAGAGAGATTTGGACAAGCTGGAATGTGTCCAGAGGAGGGCGACTAAAATGATCAAGGGTCTGGAGAACAAGCCCTATGAGGAGCGGCTTAAGGAGCTGGGCATGTTTAGCCTGAAGAAGAGATGGCTGAGAGGAGACAGCATAGCTATGTATAAGTATGTGAGAGGAAGCCACAGGGAGGAGGGAGCAAGCTTGTTTTCTGCTGCCCTGGAGACTGGGACGCGGACCAATGGCTTCAGACTATAGGAAAGAAGATTCCACGTGAACATGAGGAAGAACTTCCTGACTGTGAAAGCTGTTCAGCAGTGGAATTCTCTGCCCCGGAGTGTGGTGGAGGCTCCTTCTTTGGAAGCTTTTAAACATAGGCTGGATGGCCATTTGTCAGGGGTGCTTTGAATGCAATATTCCTGCTTCTTGGCAGAATGGGGTTGGACTGGATGGCCCATGAGGTCTCTTCCAACTCTTTGATTCTATGATTCTATGATTCTATGAGGAAGGAACAACAACTGCCTTCGAAAGGGAAATGATTTGAATACTGGGGCTGGGTTACAAACCCCACGTCTTTTAAGAACAAAGCCATGGGGAGGGGGATCAGACTGGAATTTTCAACACCTTCTGAAGGACCAGCCACCCAGATTCTCATCATGCTTTGGATCTCCCTCCTCACCCTCTTTGCTTACTGCTCAGGTACATTCAGCAATGTGAAATAAGTCATTTCAAAAATGATTGCTTTACAATGAAGAACTGCAACCATCCCAATCTGGAAGGGAATTCCCAATTATTGCTCTACTGTCCCACTTCTCTCATGTCCTCGTTTCTTTCTCCTCTTCCCACTTTCCTTCTTTATCGCCAGCAGAACAGAACAGAGGAGAGGGTGAGATCTCATCCTTTCCAATTGGCTCAGGGAAGATTAAACTGTCTCTCATAGTTGACCTTGTTCTTCTTCTTTCATCCCTTTTGCCATCTTGACCACATTCGGCAGCACACTCTCAGCTATGAAAGATTGAGGTGGGAGGTATGAGAACTCTGACTGATTTTGAAATACTTCCTTCCACAGGCTCCTTGGGCCAATATGTGGTCTCCCAGCCACCATCTGCATCTGTCTCTCTGGGGCAAAATGGCCAATTCACTTGCTTAGGGGACAGCATCGGTAGCAAGTATGTGCATTGGTACCAACAGAAACCTGGCAAGGCCCCTGTCCTCATTATATATAAAGATAGCGAACGGCCCTCAGAGATCTCGGACCGATTCTCTGGCACAAACTCTGGCAACACAGCCACCTTAAGCATAACCCAGGCCCAAACGGAAGATGAGGCAGATTATTACTGTCAGGTATGGGACAGCAGCAGCAAACAGCACACAGTACTTGAAGCAGAGAGGGAAGTAAGACAGAAACCTGCAATGAACTCAACTTGACTACTGTATTCAACTCATGTATGAGGTGGCTTCATTTACAAGTCAGGAGAGGGGGAAGAGTGACCAAGACCTCCTTCAAGAAAGACCGCATCTAGCTTTTGGATCCTTTCTGGGACTTGATTATGTCTTCCACCACCAAGATCTAAGAGTTAGAGAAGAACTTGGTGGATCACAGTTTAGCAAGCCAAGAGATGTATGTGTGACCAACGTCACTCTGTTCCAACAATCCGGTCACTAAAATCTCCAGTTCACCTCATTCCAGCGCCCAGTATTTCTGCGACTTATGCCTAAAAGCAAATGATTTTATCTAGCTGTTGTAGAGCTATCAGCCAGAGATCTAAATCTTCATGAGAAAATTAGGCCACACATTATTTGAAACTAAATAGGTTGGAGGAGCAGGAAAGGGTGTTCTGCTTGGCTCCAAAACTCAGCTGGTGATGTTTCAGCCATAATTTGGCAAGCGTCCTAACAGACACATGTAAATCTCTCCGTAGACGTAGAGGAAAAGGCATCGCTCCCACCCAGCTATGGATTCTATATGGCTTGGCAGTCCAGCACAGCCAGGATCCTCTTTTTCCTAGGAACAGGGAATATCAGGTGGCAGGTGCCAATGGATCCCATGGAGAACTTTGCCAGGAACACTACTAGAGTCTCTGCTCTAGATCTGCCTGGTGCATTGCAATAAAATAAAAGAACACTAGAGGGTGATGGTGAATCACAAAGACATTGTTGAGAGGGGCTTGGCGGAATGGGCAGGACAGGGCTTATTCATACAATGCTGGTGTGTGTTAAACAGCCCCCATTTCATGACACCTTTGCATGTCCTCCAGAGTCTGGCTGGTCCTGCCACAAACGGGTGGAGCAGAAAGTCCGGTCAGGTGTAGCCCCCCTCCCTGCGTGGACCACCACCCTCACGGTGGCCTGGCAGTGTCCCCAAAGGCCATTTAGTGGCCAGGGCCGAGCAGAGGAGACCAAATGGGGTCTTCAGGTGCACATAGTAGGAATTTGAGATTGGCCCCATGTAAGCCGCTCCGAGTCCCCACTGGGGAGATGGTGGCGGGGTATAAATAAATATTATTATTATTATTATTATTATTATTATTATTATTAATATTAATAATAATAATAATAATAATAATAATAATAATAATAATATTCCCTACTCTAGCCATGGCCTTGTGGAACCTTTGCAGATGCCTCATTCTCTCATTATTATTTTTCTACATTTCAAGTTTGATAATGATATTCACAATGCTACCAATGTTCTGTGCGTTTAGCATTCACTTGTTATTTCCAAGGTGCGATGGAAAATGGTGTAGCATGGGCCCTCATTGCAATGGAATCAGAATAACACTCCCAACAACAGTCCAAAATGCAAACACAAATACCGGTCTAAAGTCAAGTCATTAGCATCTCCACCAGAGAAGAATCTGAAGGTGTGAGAAAAGGAACATGATATATCTTTCCAATGTTCTTCCAAGTATGGAATGACTGGTATGCCAAACTGGTGCATTGGTGGTCCCAGCCTCCCGGAAACCCAACTTTTACTTCCTGATGTTTTCCTTGGCTCATCCTTCTCACTGAGAACATGTATGAGAAAGATCTTTTGTATTTTTTTTATAAGCAACCATGTCAGAGGTCTATCTGCAAAGTAGACAGTAGACAAGGGCTCCCTTGGAAACCTTCAAGACTTGGGCTCCCTTTGAAACCCACAAGGCCTTAATCTTGCATGAGAGGGGTTATTCCTTCCAAGGCTGCAACTACACAATAGTTTGAATGCTGTTTGACACCACCTTAATTGCCCTGGCTCAATGCTATGGAATCCTGGAAGCTGTCAGAATAGTTGTAGTTATTTCACATGTATGTTTTTCAATGTGTTTGTATTAGCATTACAATGTATTAGTATTGCTTCTCAAAGATGGATTCAGTCATGTTCATTTATTGTTCAGTTTACACATGCAGTAGAATTGTTATTGTTACAAAGTTACAGGCCAGACAGTGAAACTGTGATAACACAAAATTCCTTTGCCCTGAGAAAACTAGGGAGTGTACCAGCCAAGAACATAGATAACACAGAAGGGCGGATCTTTCGTTTGCTGTGTCTTCTTCTTGCTATGCTTTGTTCGTCGCCATCTTTTAGTCTCATCATGTAGTCTTTTGTGTATAGACGCTTTTAGTAAAAGCTATCTTGGAAACAGAGAAGAATGCTGTTTGAGTTTGTTTATTTTGAAACCTCACGCTTGCTGTGCCGAGACTGGAGAGTCTAACTCTGACAGAAGCTGTAATTTGACAAGGTGTTCCACCATCTCTGCCAAAAGAGGGCTGGTGCCTCATAATATTACACATCCCAAGATATTGCACATTGAGCCATGGCATCTCAGGTGGTGTCGACCAGCGTCAATCTGACAGTGTAGATGCATCCCAAGTCTCAATGAAGCATGCCTGGAGACCACCTGTGGCACCCTACTCTCCACCAAGTCTAAAAGAAATGATCTACTTCACCAAGTGTGTAGACTGCAGAGGCGGAGCTGAAATGATTCCCTTGTGCAACTCTCCCAAGAATGGACCCTTCTGCCTATCGTCCAATGAGGTTAATGCTGATGAACCCAGGGGCCGAGCATCAATGCTCCACCTACAGAAACAGGGCAGGTATAAAGACCCAAATCCTTGAGCACAGCCACCGGTGTGAGGTCTTTTTCCCTCCTCTAACTCTAAGGCTGACATCTGCTCACCATGTTCTGGGTTCCCCTTGTTAGCCTGCTGCTAGTGGCCTGTTGCTCAGGTGGGAAGAGTTTCTCTTTATCTCCAGACTACTCCTAAAATCAGGAACATGTTGAATCTCATTCCGTCTTCAATTTTCTCTTTCCAGATTCGGATGCACAGCTCACTGTGTCCCAGCCGACATCGGACTCAGTTTCTCTGGGAAAGACAGTCAAACTCTCCTGTTCTGTAAGCTCTAGCGACAGAAGGATATACTGGTACCAGCAGAAACTGGGAAATGCCCCCCGGTTCCTCTTACATTATTACTCAGAATCCAACAAGGGCCAGGGTTCTGGGGTCCCCGCTCGTTATTCTGGGTCCAAAGATGCCTCTGGTAACATTGGCTACTTAACCATCTCCGGAGCCTTGGCAGAGGATGAAGCGGTCTATTATTGTGCAGCATGGAGCCCAAGCAATGTGTTTCACGGCATTGCCCCACGATGGGGAAGTCAAACAAAAACATTCTCCATCTCCTCCAGGTGGAAGCAAAGCAAAGAATTGTGTGCACGAGGGAGAGAAACACTGAAACCACAAAAAGTAAAAAAAAAAAGATTGGGTCACATAACTTGGGGTTATAAGAGTTCCCATCTCTGCTATAAACATTCATGTTTTCCAGAGCTTATGATCACAACACTGAGATTGTTGTAGGATCCTAGTGTTAGTGTGGTATTAGTAAGATGCAATGGAAAATGGTGAAGTGTGGGCCCTCATTGCAACGGAACCAGAACAACACTTCCCGCAACAGACAAAAATCCAAGCACAAATACCGGTCTAAATTCTAGGCATTAGCATCTCCAGCAGAGAAGAATCTGAAAAAGTGAGAAAAGGAACATGATATGTTTTTTTTCCAAAGTTCTACCAAGTATAACTACACAGTGGAATGAATGCCATTTGATACCACTTGAACTGCCCTGGCTCAAGGATAATCAATTTGGTAATTCAACCTGGCAACCTCTCTGCCTCTTGCTGAGTGTTGCGTCTCAGATTAGCTTCACCTTGCTCTCTGACAAACCAGCCAAGCTTGAGAAGAAAATAGTTTATTGAGGTTTCAAACAAATCCAGGTAAAAGCAGTAAAAGTTCCAAAGTACAAAAGATAGGTTCAATAGGGTTTCTTAAATCAAAGCAGGAACTTGAGGCAAAGGAGCAGGATACATTCCAGGCATTAGCATGAAGTTACAGGAAGCAGGCAATCCCCCCAGGCCCAAGCCCTGGGCCGAAGGTACAGTGATCCATTCTAGCAAAGTTGAACAGACACTGAACCAGCTTTCCAGCAGCATACTTATAGTTGAAACATCAAAACATGAAACTAAAACAATTCACTAACAAGCAATTTTCCCACCAGCAGATGGCCTCAAGATTTGGCCGCAATCCTCCCGCTTCTTCGTAACACCTGGAGCTTGCTGCTCCGACCTTCACCGAGCGTCTTATCAGCCACATTCTTTGGCTGTGAGAACAAGCGTTTCTCTCTAGCTACAGACTGTGGCTGAGAAATCAGGGCACCTGCATCTGTATTCCCATTCCCATCATGCCCACTTGCACTCTCAGACCCATCATGCTGTTGCTGAACCACAACACTATCCCCCCCCAAGCCCCCCCCTGGGGCCCCCCACCGGACCGGGCTTGGCCGGATAGGCCCGGTGAAAGCGGGACACCAGGAGAGGAGCATGAACATCTCGAGCATCCACCCAACAGCGCTCTTCAGGACCATATCCCACCCAGTCCACCAAGTATTGTAACTTGCGATGATAACGGCGAGAGTCCAAAATGTCTGCCACTTCGAATTCTTCCTCTCCATCGAGCAGAATCGGGGGCGGCGGAGGGGCCCCGCCAGCATCCGGCCGGACATCCGTGGCGGGTCGGAGCAACGATCGATGAAAAACAGGATGGATCCGCATACCGCGCGGAAGCTTTAACTTAAAGGTCACAGGATTTAATTGTTCCACCACTGGGTATGGCCCCACAAAACGAGCGTCAAGCTTCCGAGAGGGACGTTGGATAGGCAAATGTTTGGTGGACAGCCAAACTCGATCCCCCACTTGGATCGGTGGACCCGGCTGTCGATGGGTATCCGCCACCCGTTTGTAATCCTCTTTCGCTTGTTCCAGTTGAGCCTTTAAAATCTCTTGAATTGCTGAGAGTTCCTGCAGCCAAGTGGTAGCGGCAGGGACCTCCCCTGACCCCACCACTGAAGGAAAGAACCGGGGGTGGTATCCATAGTTGGCAAAGAACGGGGCTTCCTTGGTCGACCCGTGAGTAGCATTGTTATAAGCGAACTCTGCTACAGCAAGAAGCGATGACCAGTTGTCCTGTTGATAGTTCACAAAACATCTCAAATACTGCTCAAGGGTGGCGTTGGTCTTCTCGGTCTGGCCATCGGATTGTGGGTGGTGTGCTGACGACATCCGACTCTCGATACCCAACTGTCGCTGAATCTCCTTCCAAAAATGCGAGGTAAATTGGGCACCGCGATCGGTCACCAAACTCGATGGAAGTCCATGAAGGCGGAAGATGTGACCCAGGAACAAGTCGGCAGTCTCTTTGGCAGTAGGCACTCCCCCACAGGGAATGAAATGTCCCATCTTGGTGAAAAGATCCACCACTACCAAAATGGTGGTGAACCCTTGAGATTCTGGTAAATCCGTGATGAAGTCGGCCGACACGATTTCCCAGGGCCGACTCGGAGTGGGTAGAGGTTGTAGCAAACCAGCCGGTTTGCCCATAGAGTTCTTAGCGCGGTGACAAACAGGGCACCCATTGACATATTTCTCGACCTCTCGTCGGATCTTGGGCCACCAAAAGTCTCTCAGCACCAACTGCATTGTTTTAAAGATCCCGAAATGCCCTGCTGGCTTGGTGTCATGGCATAGCCTTAAAATTTCTTCTCGCTCGGGACCGGGCGGCACATAGACCTTTGAACGATGACACAGCATCCCATCTAACTCCTGAAATGGGAACTTTAGTCCGGCCTCTAGTTGCTCTTGCACCCACAAGTCCTCTTGTTGCCGCGCTCGGATCCTTTCCGCCAGAGTCAAAGGAGGCCCCGATACTCCGGTGGACGCAAAGTTTTCTGGGCGCAAAATGCAGGACTCAGAGGAATCTTCTTGGCCCCGAGTATATTCCGGCTTGCGCGACAAAGCATCCGCTTGTTTGTTTTGAGCCGCCGGCACGTAGCAAATCCGGAAGTTGAATCTCTCAAAAAACAACGCCCAACGCTGCTGTCGTTGGTTTAACTTCCGGGAGGTACGAAGATATTCCAGATTGCGATGGTCCGTGTGACTTCCACTGGTTGCATGGCACCCTCTAGCCAATGTCTCCAAGTCTCAAACGCCGACTTGATGGCTAGGAGTTCTTTTTCCCAAATGGTGTAATTCCGTTCTGGGGCAGTCAACTGCCGAGAAAAGTATGCACAGGGCTGAAGATGATCCCCCGCAGGTTGTAGCAACACTGCCCCGACCGCCACATCCGACGCGTCGGCCTGCACCACAAAGAGCTTAGTTGGATCAGGATGTTGCAGGATAGGCTGAGAAGTGAAAAGCTTCTTGAGCTGCTGAAAACTCTTTTCAGCCGCCTCAGTCCATAGGAACGGCCGTTTGCCTCTCAGACATTGGGTAATGGGATCCGCCCAGCGGGCAAAGTCTGGGATGAATTTGCGGTAGTAGTTGGCAAAACCCATGAATCTTTGAATGTCCTTTCTACTCATGGGGGACTTCCAATCTAACACCGCAGAGACTTTAGCGGGGTCCATGGAAATTCCCTCCGCAGAGATGCGGTGCCCCAGAAAGTCCACTTCGTCCAGATCGAAGGCGCACTTTTCCAGCTTAGCATAGAGTCCATGATCTCTCAGGCGCTGGAGCACTGCGCGCACTTGTTGCGCGTGATCACGTGGATTCGTGGAGTAGATCAAAAAGTCGTCCAGGTAAATGACCAAAAATCGGTCCAAAAAGTCGCGAAAGATATCGTTGACGAAGTGCTGGAACGTGGCTGGAGCGTTGCAGAGCCCGAAACTCATGACCCTGTATTCAAAACTTCCGAAGCGGGTCTGGAAGGCTGTCTTCCACTCGTCCCCTTCCCGAATACGCACCAAGTTGTAGGCCCCCCTTAGGTCCAATTTGGTGAAAATCCGAGCTCCCCGCAAACGGTCGAGAAGCTCCGGGATGAGGGGAAGCGGATAACGGTTCTTGATCGTGATGTTGTTCAACGCCCGATAGTCGTTGCAAAGCCGCAACTCCCCTGACTTTTTCTTGACAAACAAAACTGGGGCCCCAGCCGGCGACTGCGAAGGACGAATGAACCCCTTGCGTAGGTTAGTATCCAAAAACTCCCGGAGAGCCGCCAGCTCTGGTTCCGAGAGAGAATACAATCGCCCACGCGGAATCGGGGCGCCCGGGATCAAGTCAATAGTGCAGTCGTACGGCCGGTGTGGAGGAAGTCTTTCCGCCTCCTTCTCGCTGAAAACATCCCAGAAATCTTGGTATTTGGCGGGCAACTTGCCCGTGGCTTGTGCGGCCACTTCTGCGGTTTGACACTTCCGCTCCACGCCGCAATGTTCTTTACAAGAGACCGAAGTGAACTGTAGTCTTTTTTGAGCCCACCAAATGGTCGGGTTGTGCTTGGCCAGCCATGGAATTCCCAACACCACGGCATGTGGAAGGTCCGTGACCAAAAAGGAGACCTCTTCCACATGGTCCCCGACTCTCATCAGCACGGGCGCTGTATAGCGAGCCACCGGCCCGGCTTTCAGCAAACGCCCATCAAAGTTTTGTACATCCCGGGGAGGCTGGAGGTCTAAACATTGTAATCCAAGGAGCTCCACAAACCGACTGTCCATGAAGTTGTTAGTGGCCCCACAGTCGACCAGGGCGTGCACCGCCGTGGGAGTCTTTTGGGCCACACAAAACGAAACCAAGAGAAAAAACAGCATCCCAGTTGCGGGCTCCGGAAACGGGGTGGAGACCGAGTTTGCGAGCCCAGCTAAACTCGGTCGTTGCCTTCCCCCGCCGGCTGCTCGGCCCATTGTTCGCCAGATCCCTGGGCTTGGGGCGCCACGGGCTCCACTGAGCCGGAGACCCCTGCCAAGCGGGGGCCCGTCTTCTTCTTTACAGGGCACTCCCGAGAGAAATGCCCGCTGCCCCCACAGTACCAACACAGGTTGAGCCGTTGTCGTCGCGCCTTTTCCGCCACATCAACTTTAGGGCGCAGGGAGCCCAGCTGCATGGGTTCCTCTGCATCGGGCTCACGAGGTGGCGGCGGACCCAAGCGACGTGGCACTCCCGCATCGGCCCCCTTTCGGCCCACTGGCCGAGGCCCAGCAATGATGTGACGTTGATTGGCCATGGATCCATCTATCCGGATGCATAGAGACATTAATGCTTCCAAGTCGGCCGGAACAGCGGAACGGGCCACCTCCAACTGCATCTCCTGGGTGAGCCCCGCTTTGAAAGCGCTCATGTAGGCGGCATCGTTCCAAGCCAGCTCCCGCTGCAATACACGAAACTCCGAAATGTATTGGGCCAAACACCCCTCTTTTTGCGTTAGGGCACGCAGCTTACGATCCGCCATCTCCCGGTGGACTTGGCCTCCCCAAACTTTGTGCAGTTCATCCATGAAAGCCTTGACAGTGTTGCACACAGGGGAAGCGGCCTCACGTAGCGCGGTGGCCCAGGAGAGGGCCGGGCCCTCCAACAAACTGTAGGCAAAGCCCACCTTGGCTGCCTCATTCGCAAACTCCGCTTCCCGCACTGTGAGGTAGGCATCACACTGTCCCAAGAAGTCCTTGACCCGTTGACTGTCTCCGGAGAACTTGTTGGGCAAAGCCATAGGAGTCCTTAGTGGCGGAGCCGGAGGGGCAGGCGCCCTTTGCGCTTGCATCGTGGTTATCTGCTGCTGGAGGTCCTGCAGCTGCTGTTGCATGGCCTGGGCATCTGCAGGATTCATTGTGGCTGGGAGAAGCAAGGACTTTGTTGAGTGGTCTGTTCAAACTGTTGCGTCTCAGATTAGCTTCACCTTGCTCTCTGACAAACCAGCCAAGCTTGAGAAGAAAATAGTTTATTGAGGTTTCAAACAAATCCAGGTAAAAGCAGTAAAAGTTCCAAAGTACAAAAGATAGGTTCAATAGGGTTTCTTAAATCAAAGCAGGAACTTGAGGCAAAGGAGCAGGATACATTCCAGGCATCAGCATGAAGTTACAGGAAGCAGGCAATCCCCTCAGGCCCAAGCCCTGGGCCGTAGGTACAGTGATCCATTCTAGCAAAGTTGAACAGACACTGAACCAGCTTTCCAGCAGCATACTTATAGTTGAAACATCAAAACATGAAACTAAAACAATTCACTAACAAGCAATTTTCCCACCAGCAGATGGCCTCAAGATTTGGCCGCAATCCTCCCGCTTCTTCGTAACACCTGGAGCTTGCTGCTCCGACCTTCACCGAGCGTCTTATCAGCCACATTCTTTGGCTGTGAGAACAAGCGTTTCTCTCTAGCTACAGACTGTGGCTGAGAAATCAGGGCACCTGCATCTGTATTCCCATTCCCATCATGCCCACTTGCACTCTCAGACCCATCATGCTGTTGCTGAACCACAACACTGAGCTCCTGATGCATTCAATGGATGGAAGGACAACCATCCTGATGCCAAGTGGACTGGGTGCCTGTCTCCACAGACCTCTTGCTCACATTCACAGGCCACACAAATCCAAGTCCACTATTATAATGGATTAAACAATGCCAAGACATGATCCCATGCCTGCACCGTACACCCTGTTCAGCCTTTTTGAAGTGGCAGAATTGCCCCTTTTCAATAAGTTGGTGAAGAGGACATTCCATCTCACTTTAAGAATGGCTGATTCCCCAACTTTAATCCAGGACAAAATACCGTATATTCTGGCATATAAGACTACTTTTTAACCCAAGAAAATCTTCTCAAAAATCAGGGGTTGTCTTATACGCGGGGCTGTCTTATACACGGGAGTAGTCTCATACACAGGAGTAGTCTTATATGCGGGAGTAATCTTATACACAGGAGTAGTCTTATACACCAGGAGTCGTCTTATAGAGCGGGTGCTGAAACTTCCATTCGGATTGGAGAATCTGTGGTTGCTGCATATGATGGGGAGAGCTCAAAAATGGCAATGGCCGCATCCCTGCCATATGCAGCGACTGTATAAAAGCATTAAGGGCGACGCTGTACAAGTGTGGTAGAAGAAAATCCATTCATCAGGAATCGTGGACTTAATGTGGTCCCAATGGTGAGGTGAAGGGGCGCCTCACCAGGAAGGTGTAAGTGAAGGGGGAGCAAGCTGCATGCATCCGGTGCGCCCGGGGCATGGAAAAAAGAGATAAAGTGGCTCTGGGCCCAGACAAACACACCTCTTTTACCTGTCTGGCCTGCCCTTGTATCCTATTACCATACCTCCTTCTCTGCCTCTCAGATCTGGCTCCTGAAGGCTGCAGTGAAGCGGTGCATGTGCGCATGTGTGACATCTGAGAGGCAGAGAAGGAGGTATAGTAATAGGAAAATTACCATATTGAAATCAAATCTGATACTTTTAAAAATTTTATTTGGTCTGCATTAGAAGAGGGGTAGTCTTATACGGCGAATATATCCCAAACTCTATATTTTAACTGGTGAAGTTGGGGGTCGTCTTATACGCCCAGTCGTATGCTGGAATATACGGTAGATAAATTCTCTTGCGAAGCCACTGGCCATAGTGAGAAGTGCAAATGAAACAATATCTGTACAAAATGATTTTCATGAAACACGTGAGACACCTTGGGGCCACAACAGCCAATCCAGTCAGTGCTGTGGAGTGTTCAGCTACTCTGCCATTGCCCCTCCTCTGTCGATTGGGTGGGTATAAAGGAGCAACAGTGTGGACTGACACCCATCTACCTGTTGTGAAAGGTTGTCTTCATTTGTGGTTGAGACCAAACACACCTCACCATGTCCTGGTGTGCCACGCTTAGCCTGCTCTTCATGGTGTGGTGTGCAGGTGAGTGCAGGCCATGCACATGGGAAACCTGTAACTAAGGTGGGTCCAGCAGATGTGTTACCTTTTCTCTCTTGCTTTCTTTCCAGGAACACTGTCTCAGCCCACCCTGACCCAGCCACCCTCGGCCTCCGTGTCTCTGGGGGAGACAGTGAAACTCTCCTGTGTCATGAGCAGTGAAGCCAACATTGGTGGTTATTATGTGTATTGGTACCAGCAGAAACCTGGGAGTGCTCCACGGTACCTCTTACGGTTTTACTCAGATTCTAGCAAGCACCAAGGCTCTGGGGTTCCCTCTCGTTTCTCTGGGTCCAAAGATACCTCCAGTAACACTGGCTATTTAAACATTGCGGGAACCCTGGCTGAAGACGAAGCTGATTATTACTGTGCTGTGTGGCACAACAATGCGTGTCACGGTGGTGCACCCTGATGGGGAAATGAGACAAGAACCTGCCTTCTTATCCCCTGGGGGACAAATTGCTCGTGATACCGATGTGCTTAAGATGGAAACAGATGGTCAGATACAAGTAAAGGATGACAGCATTAAGGCTTTTGAACATATGCCATGCACTGCAACATTATCTTCATCTCCTCACTTATGACAAGGAGATTCCACCTGAACATTAGGAAGAACTTTCTGACTGTGAGAGCTGTTCAGCAGTGGAACTCTCTACTCCGAAGTGTGGTGGAGTCTCCTTCTATGGAGGCTTTTAAACAGAGCTTGGATGGCCATCTGTTGGGGGTGCTTTGAACGCGATTTTCCTGCGTCTTGGCAGGGAGTTGGACTGGATGACCCACGAGGTCTCTTCCAACTCTATGATTCTATGATTCTATGTCCTGTTCTTTCCCTGTTCATGGACTCAAGCCATAGTATCCCCTTCCAAAAAAGTACCAAGAGAAATGTATGCAGAGGCATAAACACAATAGGATTGCTTATTTCACAAGCTTGTAGGAATGCCATTTTGGTTATACACAAAGCACTTTGCATATCATAGGACCATGCTGTAGGACCTAGTGATGCCAAACGGCATGTATTCCCTCTAGGCCCTAAGTTGGATGAGTGTCCAATGGCATGAATGCACATCAGTTCCGCTGTATATTGATCGAGTTGTTCAACCCATCTTCTCAATTCCATATCAGGCTTTCTTAGCCCTAGTCTTATGTAGACCTAAAATAATATACAGTACACAGTGAAAGAATGACATCCAATTGTTCTCACTGATTTGGTAGGATGTGGTGATGGGAAACCTGAGATTATGGGGAAAGGGTTGGTGTGTTTTTTACTAGGATTCTGGGAGTCCAAAGAGTGTCCTTAGACAAGTCACCAGCACTCTGTCCCCCTCTGAATAAACCTTACCAAGAAAACCCTAGGACAACATCACTGTCCACCAAAGGTGATTTCAAAGCACACCCGAACAACCAAGTGAACATGGGGAGGAGCGACTTCTACAGTTAACCTGGCCCACAGCATCTCTGGCATGAAATTTAGGAAGCCTAAGGATCCACACAATGTTGAAGCTTGGGGACAACTCCCAGAAGTTCAAGTATGGGATAAAAGTTCTAAGGTGTTGGGACTGGTCCTAATCCTTTTTGAGTGGTAGAAATGCCATTCTGTTGGCTGATGGTGAAGATCTTCTGAGAGAGCAATCCACTGGCAGAATTGCTCTTTTGGTTAAAATCTCTCTGTTGTAGGGCCTGAGGGAGGAACCATGTGATGTAAGGTCCAAAACTCTCCAAGAAAGATACCTTCTGGCTCCAGCTGTGACACCTGCAGAGGGCTGAGGAAGGAACAACAGTTGCCCTTGAAAGGGAAATGATTTGAATATTGGGGCTGGGTTACAATCCCCACACATTTTAAAGACAAAAACATGGGGAAGGGGATCAGACTGGACTTTTCACCATCTTCTGAAGGACCAGCCACCTGGATTCTCACCATGCTTTGGATCTCCCTTTTCGCCCTGTTTGCTTACTGCTCAGGTACATGCCGCAAGGTGAAACAGGCCATTTTTGAAATTATTGCTTTACAATTAAGAACTCCAACCATTCCAATCAAACAGGGAAGTCCACATTATTACTCTATTGTTTCACTTCTTTCATGTGCCCGTTTCTCCCTCCTCTTCCCTCTTCCCTTCTTTTCCCCCAACAGAGCAGAACAGAGGAGAAGGTGACCTCTCATCCTTTCCAATTAGCTCAGGAAAAAGTAAAGCGTCTCTCCTTTCTGATCTTGTTCATCTTCTTTCATCTCTTTTATTTATTATATATAATTAAAACATTTATATTCCGCCCTTCTCACTCCGAAGGGGACTTGCGGAGCACAACATACAAACGGCAAACATTTGCCATCTTGACCACCCTCAGCAACACATGTTCAGCTATGAAAAATTGAGGTGGGAGGTACAAGAACTCTGTCTGATTCTGAAAACTTCCTTCCTCAGGCTCCTTCGGCCAATATGTGGTCTCCCAGCCACCATCCGCATCCGTCTGTCTGGGGCAAAATGGCCAAATCACTTGCTCAGGGGATGGCATCAGTAGCAAGTATGTGCAGTAGTACCAACAGAAACCTAGCAAGGCCACTATCCTCATTATATATGAAGATAGCCAGTGGCCCTCGGGGATCTCAGACCAATTCTCTGGCACCAACTCTGGCAACACAGCCACCTTAAGCATTTCTCGGGCCCAAGCAGAAGACGAGGCAGATTATTACTGCCAGGTGTGGGACAGCAGCACCGAACAGCACACAGTACTTGAAGCAGTGGGGAAGTGAGACCAAAATCTGCAATGAACCCAACTTGTCTACTGTATTCTACTCATGTATGAGTTGGCCTCATTTACAAGTCAGGAGAGGGGGAAGTGAGACCTAGACCTCCTTCAACAAAGACCACATCTAGCTTTTGGATCCTTTCTGGAACTTGATTGTGTCTTCCACTGCTAAGGTCCAAGAGTTAGAGAAGAACCTGGTGGATCTCAGTTTAGTAAGTCAAGAGACATACAGTATGTGTGACCAAGGCCAGTCTGTTGCAACAATCTCCTCACTGAAATCTCCTGTTTAACTCATTCCAGTGCCCAGTATTTCTGGGACTTTCGCCTGAAAGCAAATTATTTTATCCAGCTATTGCAGAGCTATCTTTGTGAGAAAATTAAGAGACATCCCATTCTTAGGCCACACATTAAATAGCTTGGAGGAGGGGAAAAGGCTGTTCTGTTTTCCTCCAACACTGAGCTGGTGATGTTTCAGCCATAAGTTGGCAAACATACCAACAGAAAAAATCTCTCTGTAGATGTAGAGGACAAGGCATCGTTCCCACTCAGCTATGGATTCCAGTATGGCTTGGCAATCCAACACAGCCCGGATCCTCTTTTTCCTAGGAACAGGGAATATCATCATCATCATCACTTTATTTCTTAATTAGTCGCTCTCCACCAAGGTGTTCCGAGCGACTTACAATTTAAAATAGCTTATACACAATATAAAACATTCAATATAAAAACATTTAACATAAAAACATCCAACATAAAAACATTCAACATAAAAACATGCAGCAGTGACTATGGCAAAATTTGATCCGATTACTCAAATGCACAGCCAAACAGCCAAGTCTTGAGCGCCTTTACAAAAGGTCGCAACTCCGACATTGCTCTAATATATGGAGGCAATGAGTTCCACAGAATTGGAGCATAGATTGTAAAAGCTCTACGCCTTGTAGCTTCCAAATGTGCCTCCCTAGGACCCGGTATGTATAGGAGATTTTCCTGGGTGGATCGAGGTGACCACTGATGGGGAAAAGGAATGAGGCGGTCCCTAAGATATAAAGGTCCTTGGCTATTTTGAGCTCTAAATGACAGGATCGGGATCTTGTAAGAGATCCGATGTTCTATTGGTAGACAATGCAGTTGTTGCAGAATCGGTGTAATATGGGATCTTATAGATGATCCCGCTAGCAGCCTGGCTGCCGCATTTTGGACCATCCGAATCTTCTGGGTCAATGGATCCCATTGAGTTCATTGCCAAGAATTCTACTTGAGTTTCTGCTCTAGATCTGCCTGGTGCATTGCAATAAAATAAAAGAACACTAGAAGGTGATAGTGAGTCACAAAGACATTGTTGAGAGGGGCTTGGCGGAATGGACTGGACAGGACCTATCCATAGCATGCTGGTGCATATGTTAAACAGCCCATTTTCATGACACCTTTTTATGTCCTCCGGAGTCTGGCTGAGGTCCTGCCTCAAACGGGTGGAGCACAAAGTTCCGCCAGGTGTAGTCCCCTCCCTGCTTGGACCACCACCCTCACGGTTGCCTGGCAATGTCCCCAAGGGTCATTGAGTGGCCAGGGCTAGGCAGAGGAGACCTGATGAGGTCCACATTATAGGATTTTGAGGCTTCTCACTCAACCAAGGCTTTATCAAAAGTGTGAGGAAAGGAACAGGATATATCTTTCCAAAGTTCCACATCAGTCTGAAATGGCTGGTGTGCCAAAGTGGGGCACATTGGTGGTTCCAGCCTCCCAGGAACTGGCCCAGCTTTTACTTCCAGCTGTTTCTCCTGGCTAATCCTGCACATTGAAGATACTTGTATGAGAAAGGCCTTTTGGATCAATTTTAAACAGCTGTGTCAGACATCAATCTGCAAAGTAGACAGGGACACCAAAAATCCCCATTTGAAACCATCAAGTCCTTAATATTGCATGGTAGGGGTTCTTCTTTCCAAGGGTGTTGCTACAGTAGAACGAATGTCGTTTGACACAACTTGAACTGCCCTGGCTCAAGGCTAATCAGTTTGGTCATTCATCCTGGTGACGTCTTTGCCTCTTGCTGAGCTCCTGATGCCTCTAATGGAGGGAAGGACCACCATTCTGATGCCAAGTGGACCTATCTCCTCTTGCTCAGATATACAGCCCACGCATATCCAAGTCCCCTGTTACAACTGATTCACCAATGCCAAGGCATGCTCCCATCCTTCACTGTTTATCTTGTCCAGTCTTTTTGAAGTGGCAGAATTGCCTTTCTTTATTTTATTTATTTATTTACAGCTTTTATATTTCGCCCTTCTCACCCCGCAGGGGACTCAGGGCAGATTACAGTGTACACATTTATGGCAAACATTCAGTGCCATTTTTGACATACAAACATATACAGACATAGACAGAGGCTATTTAACTTTTTTCTGGCCGCCAGAAGAGCTGTCGCTTTCATCGTCCATCTGCAATGCTGATGAAGCACTTCCGCATTCCCCACATGCTTCCCCGCTGGAATGCTTTGCTAGAGTCTTCTTTATGGCCTCATAAATCAGTTAATTTAGCCTCCCCACACTTTTTTTTAAGGTGGTACCTAATTTTCCTACTTGACAGATGCAACTGTCTTTCAGGTTGCAAAGGACGACAACAGGCTACACACAATTGGTTGGAAGCCCACTCCAACCCTGGCTGGCTTCG